GTGAGTTAACACAAGATTTGCGTTGTAATGTTTACGATTTATAGCATCGTAATATCGAAGCCTATAAGTATTGTCAAAGAACCACGCTGCTCTTCCTTGCAGATAATTTGTTGACAGCTGTTACTAGCCATGATCTGTCCTCAACTAATACCCATCATGTGTAGAGTTACATAATTGTGTCACTTACAATTAGTAGGACATTTAATTTTGATGAATTGACTGTCCCAGAACCGTCTCTTTGTTTATGTTTTGAGCCGTCTATTATGTAAATCATTTGTAATATAACACTTAACATGTATAGACGTGTTCTCTGTATGTTAGAAATATGATAATAACGCCCTGGAAATCTCTTCGCAAAACCCGCCTACGCCTGTTTGACTCGCCATGGAAGGAGTCAGTCTTACCGGTTTCCTTGTTTTTTATTTCCTCTTGCAAACAATTGATAATCCTCATTCCTTCAATTCTGGATCAGTAAAATTGGATATAATACGTGCAAGCCTCTTTTTATTTTGTCTTGTTTATAGATAATATGAACCAAAGGTAAAATAACCCTAGAAAACGTATACTTTGAGGGATTGGGGACTGAATGGGGGAAACATGTTTAATTATCACGCAAATGTTGAATACTAATGAAGAAGGTTTTTTTCACCCCCCTGGCAGGTGATTGTCTGCATCACGCTTGCACACTCCAGGTAGATAATTGAATAGAACGAGCACTCAATAATTATATAAAAAGAATGAGGCCAATTATTGTGATCTTCTGTGTCACTTGTGTATGAAGGATGTTACAATAGAAGTTATAACGTCATTATCTTTCCACCACTGCCTGCACGTTAGTGGACGGCAAAATTAATTGAAAATAAATCAGAACGGTTACTATTCGTTTTATGACCGCCCACGATTTAATACTTGGAATATTTTTTTTCGTATATTAAATAAAAAGACACATCAATATCACGCTATGCTGTGCTTTGGGCAAATGTTTCTCAGGTCACTTAACAGATCAAACTGAAACATACTGTGGCTGGATGACTTCTTACTTGTGTTGTAGCCCCAGTGGCCTCCTAGAGCTTGATAATCGAATATCTCTTAGCCGAATGATGTACTGTAGGTATCCAATTATACTTAGGTTGTTGACTTGTATCGAACATAAAGGAATTTAATCATCAGTAACACTTAAAGATTATTTTCTGAAGCATAAGTCACAGGCTTCATTAATGTCCAAATATGAAGGGCTTAACCTTATTGTTATAACGTAAAATGATTGTATAACCTGTAACTTCATTACAGAAAATTCTTGTGTTACAGCGTAGTTGTCGAGGAATATTTTCGTGTGTAGTGTGTTTACAAATATGGGAGTCCCTCAGGGTATAGCAGCATGAGAGAAATAAATGTCGTTTGCAGCGGTGAAGGTTGGTTGGGAGGGCTGGAGCGGCTGGACTCTGGCTTACCAATAAAAAGTGGATTTATTAGATTCTGGGTGTTTATGAATCTTCTCCTGCATATCACAGAGTCAGATCGTTATATTTAATGTTGTTTTCGTTTGTTAAATTGGTGCTGATATTTGTTTTTATCTTACAAACTTGATTTTACAACATCTAATGATAAAATGATACGATGAAGCTTCGAAAGAAAAAATGGTTACGTTTTATTTGTAATTTTGACGAACCTCAACTGTATTTGGTTTCTTCACTATTTACACAACCCTCCCAAGTTGATGAGCCTAACTTGGGCGTAACCCGTAATTTTAAGAGAGTTAGGGCATCCTCGAACCGTTTATAACATGTACAAAACCTTCCTTGAAGCTAGGCCTAACGCTTCCAATACTATTTTCATACCTTAATTTCCTTTATCACTGATATTTGTCTATCGATGTAAAGTTAATTGCAAGCATCGGGTTAAAACTTTTATTTGCATTCTTGAATCTACTGAATAAGAATTTTGTTGTGCAAAAAACTCGAAGGTTGCAAAGATGTGTTCCTATAGAAAACTGACTAGGTTTGTCACCGAACCTTTGAAAAATCGTAAGACAAAATACAGACACGATGACCTTGGTTGAGTTTGTCTTGTAAATACCAAAATGTCAACTCTGATCTGTCAATGAGTTTTATCAGAATGTTTGTTTGCTTGTTTTTCTGCTCAAGAGTAAGGGCGGGAGGAGGTGTAGGATGGATGTGTAGTCGCTTTAGAAGGTGGTAGTGGTTGAGAGTGAGGTGGTGTGGTGGTAGTGGTTGAGAGTGAGGTGGTGTGGTGGTAGTGGTTGAGAGTGAGGTGGTGTGGTGGTAGTGGTTGACAGTAAGGGGGTTTGGTTTACTCTCAGCCTAAGATATCAGGTAGCGGTGATAATGATTGAGAGCGAAAAAAAAGAGAATATATGTTGAAAATTAGTGAAGCCCCAAACAGATACAGTATAGGTTATTCCTTAGCGTATAGGAACAAGAATGTAAACATGTACTGATAACGCTACGACGCATATTAAATTAAAAACGCATTGATAATACCCTCCACGCATACATTACAGAATAATTAAACCACGGCGGTGAATGATGGAGTGGTATGTAAACCGTGAAAGGTTATTAACACGAATAATTACAGAGCCTGGGATCCTCTCTTCCTACGGTAGCTTCTGGTGAACCGCCATGACACTTCACCTCACCTCGAACCGGAATTAAAGGACATGTGAATTAACAGTTGTGGTGAGACCGCTATTTATTTGTACCTTTTTTTATAATTAAATGCTTATCCCATTTTTTATTTCTGTATTTTTCTATAATTTTCCATCTTTATTTTATTAGTGTAAGTTTTTATTCACTATTTTTTTACGTTCTTTGTCTTGGGTTTTTTTTTTTTCATGCTGATAAAATCGAGAAATGAAAGTGAGCATGAAGTTTCCAAAATACCTGTGTGTGTGTGTGTGTGTGTGTGTGTGTGTGTGTGTGTGTGTGTGTGTGTGTGTGTGTGTGTGTGTGTGTGTGTGTGTGTGTGAGAGATAGGAGGGGTGGTGACAGGAGGGAGGGGAGGTGTGAGGAGGGAGGGTGTGTGATAGGAGGGAGGGTGGTGTAACAGGAGGGGAGGGTGGTGTGATATGAGGGAGGGTGGTGTAACAGGAGGGAGGGTGGTGTAACAGGAGGGCGGCTCATGTGACGTGAAGGCCCCACGCCCATAATCGCTCCTCGGGATAATGGATCCGGGCTCAGATTCTCAAAAGCTTCGTATGTTAGAATTTCCTCGAACTGACTCACTGAAGCTACGACGCAAATATGAATTCCCAATGGTTCCTTTGTTAAAAATTTCTTCTCACTGTATATTATATGAGAATGTATTGGACTCGACTCACTTTAGCTGCGACACAAAGATGGATTTTCAAAAGCTTTGTATATATAAATTTCCCTGACTGGAGATATAAGAAAGTGTATAACTGCCCGACTGGCGTTGCTACACAAGGATACATTCTCAAAGGTGCCAGATATTAAGGTTTCGTTGCCATGATAAGATTATAGAGTGGACAGAAACTTAAGTATTGCCATGATAGATCCGATTTGTATTCTGGAGAAATGCTTGTATCGAATTCGGCGAAAAACCTTCAAGAGATTGGACAGAAACTCGAGTTGCTATTTGTCACAGTGTCCCCTCTAAATTATCTGGAGAAATCATTTTATATAAACTTCGCTCTGAAATAGACAAAGGAATTTTTATTATTTTTTCGGAAACTTGATTTTTTTTTCTTCTGTTGACAGGATGAGAAATATGTCCTCACACTTCTCACGTCTTTCCTGCTCCCTCTTAATTAAACCTTCAGCTGTTCTTATAGTCATTACCGTAGCGTTGTCACCACCTAACCTAACCAAACCTAACCTAACCCAACCAAACCTCTATCAACTCTTCACACTTCCAGTCAGTTCTTTCACCCTCATCAGTTATATATTGAGTAACCCATCAACCACTACACCTTCCGTCCTTTCAACCCCTAATTACCCTATCATTTCCCATCCATCCTACCCAATTAACCCCCACTCCACCCCATCAACTCACTCCATCCCCACTCCATCAACTCTCATTCCACCCCACCCCACCCCACCACCATCACCCCACCACCCACCCACCACACCATCACCCACCACACCACACCACACCATCACCCCCACCACCATCACCCCACCACAACCATCACCACCACCATCACCCACCACCATCACCCACCACCATCCACACCACCATCACCCACCACCACCACACCACCATCCACACCACCATCATTATCCCCACACCACCACCACCCACACCACCACCCACACCATCACCCACACCACCATCCACACCACCATCATTATCCCCACCACACCACCCACACCACCACCCACACCATCACCCACACCACCATCCACACCACCATCATTATCCCCCCCACCACCATTACCTCCCACATAGTCAATATCAAGTCCACCCCATAAATATACTACGCAATAACCAACTGATCCGCCTACATAAGTGTAAAGCCATCCAGGTTAGCAAGTTGACCTGAACGCTTACTCCTGTGAATATTCTCATTTGACTAACACCTTTTCATATGAGCCTCCGCCACACCCTTCTCAGGTAGGTCACGAGTTGGGGTTCTCTAAGACCAGTACGGTAATGTTTCTCCTAACTCGGAATCCTCGTAACTCGGGATCCTCGTAACTCGGGATCTCCGTAACTCGGGATCCTTGTAACTCGGGATCTCCGTAACTCGGGATCCTCGTAACTCGGGATCCTCGTAACTCGGGATCTTCATAACTCGGGATCTTTGTAGAACACATTTACAGTAGTCTCGGCGGTTATTTCGATTTAGTTTTAATCGTGTTTTTGGTGTAGCTTAAGCGAGTCACTTGGATTCGTTCCCTCATCTCCAGTTTAACTTAGGAGGACTCGGAAGTATATACGTCTCGGGTTCTCAAAGATTCGTATGGTAGAATACTCTCTCTTAACCGGCATTACGTATGAGAATAATAATGATGCTAGTC